TTTTCACAACCTAACTAACTTGAATTTGTTTCAGAAACTGGTCAAAGTGGATTGTTATGCTACATTTCAAGACGACCTTACTTTCAAAACAAAATGACCTTATCTTCTACTTGTCAGAGAAGATGACTTATTGATCGATTACTATTCCAGTTTGTTTTCAATCTTGACAATGTTGTCAATCCATACTTCTTAACTGGTTCCTGTTAATGTGAATTACTTTAAACCATTGTCTTGAAGTCTGATTTAATGATGAGTTACTAAGTCATGGAATCATAAAGAATAAGCCAAGCCTCTGCTGGTGATTATAGAAGTTAACTTACAGAACAGATTGTCTTTGTGTGACCGGCACTTTTAACTCCTTCCTCTAAAGCCTTGTTAAGAGTGAGGGGTGCTGAAAGCAGTGCAGCTCTAGCCAGATCTATTGCAGATGACTGAAGTTGATCTTCCTCGCTAATGTCAATCAGTTTATTGAAGGTCATAACAAGCTCCTGCTGAAATGCCATTCTCTCCTCAGCCACCAACCAAGGGTGAAAGAATATTGACTCATTTTCAGGACATCTTAAAGAGCAACTCATGAAGAAAGCATACTCTATGATCTGTTGCTGAGCAGAACAAGGCAACTGGGATTGCAAAGTCAACAAAGTCTGAAAGTGAATTGAAACCACAACAAAATGGTTACTAACCATGGACATCAGAGTTTTTCTACTGATACTGCTAGATGACATAGTTTCTGACTAATTAAACATTGATTAATCATCATCATCATCATCATTCCTAAAGTACTAAAGGACACTGCTGGGTTGCCACGACTAAGATGATGCCTCATTGACTCCACGCCACATTACTTCACAGCATTTTGCTGGTCAAATAGAACTCATCAGAAGGTCAGACTGTAAAAAGTTGAACCCACTCATGGCTGCCACTGTTGAAGAGGACAAAACTTCCCTAACCTAACTACTTGTAAACAATAATTAAAAGGTAAATTCTTTATGTTACTTTTCTCTCATTTTTTTTTTTAAATATCTCAAACACTCTTGACCTGTGGCTGTCAGGCTTACACAAGGACTTTAAAAGCTGATATTTTTTACTTCTGTTTCATTTATAATAATTACAGCAAGGTATGTAATGAGACATAAAGTACTATGTTTTTATTGTGTTTCTGAAAGCCAAAAACCCAACCATCTAATTTGAATACGAGTTTAACACTTACCACACACATTATTTAGTTACCATCAACGAAAATAGCTTACACCCACTTTATAAATACATGTAGACAAATCTATAGTACATACACACAGTGCATAAATATATTAGTTTACCTCTTTCATTTCTCTGTAGACTGTGTCATTGGATTTCTCATCAGCACAAAGACACTGCCTTTGCATGTAGATAATGTCAATCATTTTAAGAGCATGTTGAACATCACTTATCTCAACTGCATGGTTCCTCATGCATTCCAGCCAATCAGATTCTCCGTGAAATTCCTCTGCACTCAGTAACCAATCAAAACATTCCTTATAGTCTTCTAACCTGCCATCAACTATTTGTAAGTAGAAGCGGAATTGTTCTTCCATAGTTTCTGGCTGAAAGAGCAACAAATCCACAGATCCTGAAATTGAATGGACAGAAAAGTAGCTAAGACTTTTATCCTTGAGTCTTCCACAGTCACCCAAACAATATCATTAAGTATGACAGTAAAATGTAATGAGTACTACCTTCCTACATGTATATAGTGTGAAAGTTTGGGAGAATTTCAAAAAACCATGGAAACACTCATCAGTAGTTCATATTCTCATAACATTTCTCCCTTTCTCAAACTTCCATTCAGGCTTCTATAACTTAATGACATAAACATGGGAAATGTGTTACATTTCTAAAAGAATTATCTTTGTAAAAATATCATTGGAGATAACAAGATGACTTGTAACACTTTGTTTGCTTACCAACTGGTGAAATGAATTCCTCTTTAAAGCAACTTTCTTTGCAGTCAATCAATTCTCTTTTTTTAAAGCCATTGACCCATGTATGCTCATTCTCTGTCGCATATTCTTTGACATACCCCGAGAGACCATTTTGTAGCCTCACAGCTTGCTCCTGCAGCTTGTGGTCACCAGAGTACAAAACAAAAAAGCATGCCACAGCATAAAGTTTTATGATCCACTTGTGTAAAGGATGCCATGATCTGTAATCTATCTCACCAATACTATTCAATTGATCATCTTGATCCCAGCATGATGTTACTCTCCAATCATTTATAATAACATGACATAGAAAATCAAAACAAGCTGTACATTCAGCTGAAACAACAAGGTCTGACATTTGTTTCTGTTGTCCATGAGCCTTTAGATCATCTCTATGGATTGATTTCACACTTGATGTTTCTACCAGGCCATCACCCTCTACAGAACACGTCCCATGTTCACAGGATACAGAGTTTTGACCAAGCCAGTTTCTGGATAAGGTCTCCTCATTCCCTTTTGCACAATGTTTTCTAAAGTTCAAAGTAACAACATCTGTAATGGCGAAGTCAATAACAGTTTTAATTAAATCCAGCTGTGCTGCTGGCCAGTTGATAAAATCCCCTTTGAGGCTAGCTACACCTTCCAGCAACACTAATGAGTGAGACTTGGTTCCAGGCACATCACATAGTTTTCTCTCCTGTTCCTCAGTTGATGGATGCTGATTTTCTGTCATTAACAAAGAGTTAAAAAGACAGAGAAAAAGAGAGAGATCTTTAAAGCTGGGGTCTTGGATAAGGCACTTGATGACATCCTCCAGAAGTGATGTTATGTTTTCCACACCAACGGCATAGAGACACTGTGATAACAAAAATAATATTGTGTAGTTCCTGAAAATATCTATACCTCCCCCACGGAAGAGATTTTTTCTAACACCTCCTCACCCCTCTGGAAATTCCAGTTAAGCTCCATAGATTTCTTTAAATTTTTTGGTCTTCCAGAACGCCTCACCCCCCAGGAAATTCCAATCCCTTCTGTGCCCAGGGGGAGTATGGATATTTTCTAGAACTGCACATTCAGATAAAATATATACCTATATATATTTTACATAAGTAACAACCGATGTAACATCTGTGATTGCATATTTATAGCTGTTAAATTTCTTTTTAGTATCATATTGGATGTTGTTAATTAAAGACTGACATCCTGCAAGTGAAGTGAGAAGACCACGAAGGCTTGAATATTTCTATTTAAGAATGAATATGGCCTTAATGCTTTGTTTAAAAACAAAATATATGAAGAAAGGATCACCAGACTAGCCTGCATTTTGTATCAGGACTGCAATCTGCATTTTGTATTAGGTCTGCAGTCTGCATTTTGTATCTAGTATGCATTTTGTATCAGTGTGGGAAACACAAGGAAGGCGTCCACACTTTCACAATTTCACGATTCACAGATTTTAATCACCCGATCCCAAAAACACACGGCGCTCAAAGTCCACACTGAAGAACATAAAAACCCTGCACCCTAAAAACCTACACAAAAAGCTATTGTTGTCTAGTTGAGATAAACAATCCTCATTACAATAATCAATCAACAATCACTATCAATCAACAATCACTAATGCTTTGTGCAATTTCCAACATCAGGCCTGCAGTCTGCACAGTGTGCATTTTGCAATGGGTCTTTAGTCTGCATTTTGCACTGAATGGTTACATTGGCCTCAACAGCCAGAGACTCAAGATTTTGTATCAATTTAATTTTAATATGTTTAATTTTTAGTTATAGGTCCCTTTACAAGACTCCTCAAGCTTATAGCTCTTATAGTTATTAGTTTAAATAAAGGTGATCTATATCTATGTAGCTATTTACCACAAAATAGCACATTGACCAATAAAATTTTACACTGCAGGTTAGTATACACCTATGGACTTTGCACAAAGACGGTATCAGAGCTCTTTAAATTACATACTTCTACCAAAAGCTCACTCCATCCCACTTCCTGCACCAGCTCTAGGTAAAAACTAACGCCAATTTGGGGCAAAGGCGGAAAGCTGTCAAAATAATCTTCCTCGAGTGACTCGCCAAACTCAAGGCCACCATATCTCCTAAACAGCGAGGAGAATACCCAGGAATGGATCTTAAACTCAAGTTCTGTAGCTCCCACTTGGTGTAAATTGTTTTTCTCGTCAAGAGGTGATTTCTGCGTCATTTCCACGATAGCCTCTGAAACGATTTGTATCGCTTTACTGCCCTTGCCTTTCTCTAACTCGTTTAGACCTCGGACAGCCTCTATGTCCGCTAACAAAAACGCAGTATGTACTACAACAGTTTCTGGGCAATAATTCATCTCTTTCAAACGAATAAACTCTTTCTCGTGTACCGATTCTCTCCACCTCCGCCGCCCGAACTCCGCCATTTTGGTTCTGTAAAGCCGCAATACATACTGCTGACCACTATGAAAAACCCGCGAATTTACGGTCGAGGGAGACTGGCACTAATCCTTATGCGATCTCTTTGCGCTAAAAGAACCTCCTGGCTTCTCGTTTGCGCGGTCTTGCGCTGTCCTGAAATTTTAGTAAGAAAAGTACAATCCTTTCTCAGTTGGCGGAATTTTCGTTTGTTAAAAGGATATCCGATTTAGCAGCAATGACACTGAAGGAGAAGGTTGGTATATTGCAACTGTTGATCAAGGCAAATGTTATGAGGGAAAACCATTCAAATGTTCAGCTGATCGATAACTTCTGCTGGGAAACCCTTTTCTGCCAAGAAACCAAATACGCTGTAAACTTGACATGTTATTTCAGCCTAGAAGCTTCAGATCTGTACTTCTCTAAAGACTTTTTAAATCTCGCAATTTGTTATTGAATATGCAATTAATTAGCACAGTGGAACTTCCCCCCCCCCAAATGGAACCCCGTATTACGGCCATCCCGTTGATACAGTCACTTCGTTATTACGACCACTTTATTCTGGCCACAACAAAAGATCAGTCCATCATTTTCTTTTCTGAAGAACCCCTGTTAACAGGGTCAGATTTAACAGGGCTCTACTGTAATTGGACTGCATGTCATACAATAGCGCAGAGCTCGAGGCAATCATGCTAGCAATTTCAAATGAGCCTTACACTCTGTGCTTGTCCGATTTGGAAATTACTGGTGTGATTACTCTCTAAATTGTACTCCACATAGACCAATCACTGTTACTAAAATAACCGTCAACTTCAAGTATCCCTTTTGATAAGAGTTAAATAGACAATGTTCATATTCTCGGCATTGGATTGGAACTAACTTGCAAGTGAGGCTAATGCAAGGAGTCTTTTCAAATACAATTGACATTGATCTCTTTTTAATAATATTCCCCTGCATGAACCTCCATTGCAAGCTGGTTGCAGTCCAATGCCAAGAATATGAATATGACCTACTGACTACCACAGCAACTTTGGAATATGAAATTTCAAGCATCAGCCAGTTAACCACATGGCTTTGGTTTTGTCGTAATTATCTCCGATAAAAAGTCCACACTTAAAACATCAGGTTTCCAAAGCCATTTTCTTATGGTGATTGACCTTGTCAACCTCAAGTTGAAAGGTAGGTTTCACTACTCTAGCTCAAGCAGACATTTGCACTCAGACTACGTAGAGGCTAATTTCACACTCTCCATTTCACTTGTCAAGAGAGAAATGTAGTGCCCCAGGCAACTGGACCTGGGCTTTTCCTGCCTTGAGTGCTTTCTTACAGCTGTTAACAATGATTTGGCTGCATGGAGAAATTTTGGATCATATTAGTCATTCACTGTGGTCATGCAAAAGATGTGGGCACCTACTCAAATGATGATTTCAGAAGGTATGGCTATATCGCCCTCTCTCCCCTTTGAATCAAGGGTAGGCCCAGTATGCACAGTCACGCACAGCAAAACAAAGACAAACAATGTACAGACTACATTTTGCAATTCTGCCAACAAACTACCTTTAATTAATTCCTTATTGTTATCTAAATACAGATGTCAGCTCTAACTTTACTGCTTGTCTGCCTTTCTAAAAAAATTGTTTCGTTTTATTAGTTGAATGGTGTACTATCTAATTATTACAGAATAATAATAATAATAATAATAATAATTAATGAGCTGTTTAGTTTTACAGTACTTAAAATATAAAATAAAAACAGTTTTTTTGCAAAGTTATATTATTTTGTCCAAGAATTTTATTTTTACTTCCTGTATCTAATTATTTCTTCTTGTGTTACACTTTAAATGGAAAAATATGTTTAGATTTGTTTTTGTTTACTTTGCTGCCAAATAAAAACTAACTAATTTCTGTGTCTCATGAAAAGACGCAAAATGTGACCTGGAACTTCAGAACTCTTCTTGTATTAGTAGGTTATCAGGCATTGTTAAGTTCAATGTTAATATCAGCTCAGGTTAAGAGGCAAATCAAGAAGAATTCAGATGTTCCAAGTTTAGTGAAAACACTATAATTTTGAATTTGTGCTTGTACAAAATAAATGCCAAATTTATATAAGGCTGTGACAAAATAATATCACCCTGCTTCAAATAATAATTTCAGAAATTGCTTTGTCACAAGTCTACGCAGCCATTCACAAGTTGCCGTAAATTTGACTTGTTTCACATGTAGGAAACATCATCTTGGTCTGTGGTCAACTATACTTCTCATCTTTACCATTTTGCCAGTTAAAATACAGTGGAATCTCAATCCCCTAAAAGAATGGAAATTAGTTTTAAAAAATCAGGAGGTTTAATAAATTGAGGGTAAATTTGTCCTACCTTTTTCTGCTAAGGGAGCAAAATATTGGTTCAAGTAATCAGGAGGGTTAGAAAAATTTAAATCCCACTAAATGTTTTGATAAATTTACACTTTGTCTATAAGTAAGCAGCTCAAAACTCTTAACATAAGTGACATTTCACACAAAGAAATGTACTTGAAATTATGCTATCTCTCATGCCTTTGACCAGCACGCTTTTGGTAATGTAAATCCTATATGTTTATAGGCTTTAAAAACTGAATACTTAATTATTAATAGCTTCATTGAAACAGGGTTAAACCTGGTCTTGTGCAGGATCATTCCTTGACGTGTGGAACACATACACACAGATAATTGTTACTGTGAAACCTCTGTCAGTTGCAGGCCTTGGAAAGCGATTTAAACAAAGTAGTTGAATAATAAATTATTGGCAAACATATGAATATGGTAGTCCTAGCTAGACCATTGCATCACCCTTGTGAGATTAAATTTGGAGTTTTTACCCAATTTTACAATGTTATGTATGCAATAATCTGATCAGTAAATTTTGTGTTAAGAAAACCTCTTGATAAAAAATTTGTACAATGTATGCTTGACAATTCAATTCACTGGGCCAGTTTCAAACTGTATTTGTAAGAACCAACTCAAGGACATGTCACAGGTAAGTGGTTTTCCGGGGAAATGATGTGATAAAAAATTATGTTTATTAGCTGTCATGAGAGGACAAAGGGATGATGCTAGCTTGTTTTGAAATCAGTATTCTGAGGTCTTGTCCAGTTGAATTTTAGTTGGGCACTAACTCCTTTAATGTTTCATATGGTCACATTGTAAGGCAGGCTGTAAATGAAGGGCTGTATGCAACAAGGTCCTTAAATAATCTGGTAAAAATACATGTACAGTGATGTGCAAGGTAATTTATGGACCTGTTTGCACCAAGCTCTTCAATTACATTACACAGGATATATACTTAACAAGACTCCAAAACACCAATCTCAAAGTAATTTTTTGTCTGATCATGTGAGAGCAGCAAAATGACCAATTGTTTAATTTTCATGCCTTAATTCGCTTTAAGCTAAGCAGCATCCTTCCTTTGCCTCGTCTTGGCATTTTAACTTAATATTTAATATTTACAAAAAAATTTTGTGACAATTTCATTTTGCAGTTAAATGGTCAGGATATATTTTTTCTTTGTTTATAGGTTTTCATGACCTCATGAATAAAAATCAAAACATGGGATATTAGTAATCAAATGTTTAAAAACTACAGTTACCTGCTTTCATGATAAGAGAAACACTTCCTTGAGTTGGAACAGGCAAATACTTGTTTAGATAAATGTGAAATCAATGAATTTGGTGAGTGACCAATATGACTGGGTTTACAAATTACTTTTCAAGCCAAACTCTTCTGTGTACTTTTGGGAAATTTTGGTGTAATGCAGTGGTTTATGAGGACTTAAAGAAATGAATCTGAGATAAAAAGAAAGGTCAAATTTTATGGGTTGTATTGCCATGTGGCATTATGGTTTGACAATTGTAGCTCCATAGTTCAACAAAGTCCAACTGATGCATAACTCACAGAGGTTTCTGATTATTACAAATTTATTGTTTCACTGGTGACTGAATCATCATAATCATACTGCAGGTCATGTAGTTAAGGAGGTGATTATATGATGAATATCAACCCAGGCAGCACTTTCAGCCTGGTTAGGGAGGTTAAGATTTCAGCTTGCAGCTTCCGATACAAATCCTCTTGAGATGAAATTAGTCATTTAACACAAAGGTTTCTGTTCACCAATTGTATTCACCCCCTTAATACATACTTGGAAACTTACGTTACTTTTCAACCAGTCAGAGTGATCTAAACAATGCCACAAAGATTTGCATAATTTAGCTATAGCTTACAATGAGATTATTACTAAAAACAGAGTCAGTTTCTTAGTTGTTATTTCTCTTGATCCACGTAGATAAGTCATCTTCAATTCCACATTTCAAGGTTGCTGATTAAAAGTTCCTCTCTGTATTTCTGTTGTAAGTGTCTTTCTCGTGATGCTTGAATAAGACAATTGAGGTACCAAATGTTTGAAGTCCATGTAACTTAAA